TAATAAAATTGGAAACACAGGAACATTTTTGCGTCTTTTTGCAAATTTTATCAGTCTGATAGTGAAGCGACGGATTGTTCTCACACCGTGCAGAAAATATGTTGAAATTGCTTTCACACAATGTATTTCACAGATTTCCTTTTTGCAAAGCATTACACCGTTCGACCTTTTGCTTTTTTTTTTCTGCACTTTAATGCAGAACTGCAAAGAATATCCCTCCGGTGGCTTTCGAAGAAATGAGATGATGAAGAAATACATTACTGGAGGCAAGTACTAAATGGAAACGTGCAGTGATAAAGGGCGCACACGACGTGCTTCGCATTAGCATTAGGTCTAAATAAATTGTCCGTGTATCTTAGCGATTTTGATAACCTCGGTACTTGTGTAATGCGTTAGCCATGCTAATTAGCAGCATACGAGGAGGGTTAAGATACCGTAAACTGCAAAATATTTTTGATTTTCTTTGGCTTTCGTCGCCTTTTTCCCTTTTTGTCCCAATCGGCCGCTAGCAGCTGCTATGAAATGATCATCGGAGAGGCACTAAAATGCCGAGAAAATGCAGTGGTCTCCATACTTATTATATTACTTAGGTTAGCTAATAACCGCTGTTTTTATTTAATTTCATCGCAAAACACTGCATTTATTGGAAAATTAAACTACGCCAAAACGTAGTTTAAATAATTGAATGTTGCACTGCTACCGTTTGTATTGTACGACTGAAAGCAGATAAATTTTTTGAAAAATGCGTGTAGGAACGAACATATTCAAAAACTTCTTGTAACGGCTGATCGAAAAACAAAACAAATGCAACAAAATCGCTCCAAAGCGAGATCATGTCTGTAAAAAAGTGGAAAGTTACTACACCAGTGCATTTGCATAAGTGTGTGAAAACGCATAATGATATGGACTGAGGTCTGCCCATAAAATGCTCTGTCTAAAATCCTGTCCAGAGGACACAGACAGTTTCTCCAGGAGGTCGAAATTTGTTGCTCTAATCAACTGCATTATACAGCTAATTCAAGTACGTTTTATGTCCGATTTCAGCGATGCTGCTCCGCTCTTCGAACATACGATAAAACTGATTTCAGAATCAATTCTTTTCAGTGCGAGCATAAATTTCTGCTCTCGTGGTATCCCAGAAATGGAGAATAGCTACAAGCTGGGCAAAAACAAGGTCAAATGTTGTTTTCATTGCACTTCTGATAGATCGCTTCCGCTTACATGTTAAAATTTGTTTAAAAGCTCGCCGAAATTCACGACTAAACCGCGGATAAATAATCGGATTCAGCAACGAATTCAGATGGCCAGCCCAGGTGGCCAGCGTATAAATAAGCTCCTGATCGCCAAAACACTGAAAAAATCAACAACATTAATTACTGACAGTTTTATAATAGTAAATAGACGAATCCAGTCCACACCAAGATTGACGGTGCTGTCATGCGGTTTTGCGCAACTTCGTACAGTAATAAAATCGTTAACTGCAAGAACGCTCACTCTTTCAAATTTTGATATGTGCACTGATGTTGAAGATGTTCTTATTGTTCTTTCGCCCGCGTTTGAGAAAGAGAGCCATTGACTGAACTGCTGATGTAGAACTGTACAGCCTAATAAAATTTTGGCTTTCTAGCATGCTTCGCTACCATGGAATGAACATGCCGTCAATTATGCAAATGGAAATTTGACGTAACTAAATACCAAGTGGAAAAATACGCGAATACTCCGTTTTTATCTTGTGATCACACACAAAGACAGCGAACTTCATCATAATGAACAACTTTTTACTAAGTCTGATTGCGGTGAAGACAAGTATTTCCGACTTTTTCTTTAGGGGTTTCCTATTGTTATTCTAAACGACCTCAACTGCTTTAGTAAATTGGAGGCAACAATAGGTACATATACGCAATAAAAATGATATCAAAAAGCGGAGGAGGCTGTGGTCTCGGTTTTGCTGTAGATAACCGAGGAGCATCCTCGGCCTGCAGTAAATATTGTCGCGATTTTCTGGTGGCGCTGCGACAGCCTGTTTCGTCTGCAGCAATAATTTCGCTGATGCTGGGGAAGGCGCAGTCCCGATGATGGCCTTTTCTGTTCGGTCCGAAATGTTGGCACTAAAGCATTTGCCGAAAAAAATCGGTCACTGAGCCCATCTGGAGCTCCGCCTCGCGCCAGCTAGGTTCAGATTATAACCAAATTGCATACATAATTGACTGTTGGTGCCGCTGATTAACAGCGGCACAGTTATTACTAAGAGAATGTTTATTGAGTTGCATTATCGCGAGGCCCAAATTTTATGATAATTTTTATTTTCTTCTTCTTTTGTTTCATTTTTCCATTAGGGCCGTTTTTCCTCGAAACTGGTATCGAATTAAGAGGGCTATTAATTGTGTTTACCTTTGCTACATTTGTTTTTTAGTTAGATTGGTCAACCTGGCGGTTCGAAACTAGGTTCATGATTTTTAACTTATCTACAGTGTTGCCCAACTACTAATAATCTGATGCACCCTAATCAAAAAAAAATGTCAAAAGTGTCTGTGCATAGCAAAG